CTTATCTGCAGTAATAATCCTTGAAGGCGCCTCGGGGACCGGGAGCAGGACTCTGCGATGCCACACCAGCGTGCCTGGCATTGCGGGCTTCCCCCTGTGCCCTGTCTGTCGAGGCTTTCGTACCGAGCTCATCGTTCAGGCACGCGAGGCCTTTTGGGATCAGTTACAGCAGCAGCCCTCGCAGTTAGCTGTCTGCCGGGGAGCCGTAATTTGCAGAGCTAACGCATTTGGTGTGAAGTGGAGGCTCGGAAATGCAGTCTTTGGTTATTCACCATGCATGTAATTACTGCAGAGTAATCTTGGGAGGTCAGAAAGGGATCCCTTGAGAGTTAGTGGCAGGAGCAGTGGTTCTATAATGGGACTGAAGTGCTTGGATGTTGGGTGTGGGTTTTGTCCCTTATAGGCAGGCAGGTAATAATAGCTACCTCAATTTTCTGACAGAAAAAATTTTAGGCTACTGTTGTTTTCTGACAGGAATGTATTTAGGTGAAAATAAGGCTTTGCTGAAATTAATACAACTTTTCAATGAGCTTTATTTGCATTTATTTGAAAGCAGAGGGTGAAAACTACTTGGGTTTTGCTGTTGGGATTGCTTAGTCTTTTCTAGGACAAAAAGAGAAAGGGGATGAGAAGGGTGAAAGAGGAAAACACTTTAATGCTTATGAAAATCTCTTTAGTTTTAGCATGAGGCACCAAAACTAGAATACTTGAATTTGAATTTGCTTGGTGGGTTTGATTTTTTTGGGAGGTTCTTTTTTTCAAAGTGCTGATTTAAAGCAGTCCAGTTTGATTCTAAATTGCTTTGGTCATTTTTAGGTGTTAAAAAACAATTTACAAAGGAAGTTCTTACTCTGATCTGTTCCAATGTATGTTTTGGGTTTTGCTTTAATATAACTATTGTTTTGTAGTATAAAAACATGCCACAGGGAACGCTTCTGGTTTTGGCAAAGGTTTTTGTGATTCAGCTCATGTCAGGTGTGCTTGAGAAAGTAAGATTATTCAGCTGTTACCTCAGTCAATTGAAACCGGTTTCCTTGGGGTAGAAGATAACCTAAGGAAAAAAAAAATGCAAGGCTGGTGACAAGCCAGATGATCCAACAGTTTTGTTCTCTATTTTCTATAATCCTGCTCTCGTTCAGCAGTGAGTGGACATTTATCATGGATTTGACATCTGTAGACCAGTCATTGATTGTCAGATAATTTGGTGATGACAGGCTAAGAACTTACCTATGCAGTGAAACATTTTTTAAAAAAGAGAAATATAACTTACTTTCTTCTGCTCCTCTTCAGGTGGATTCTGTCACCCTCTTCAGAATGGTGAATTTCTTTAGTCTCCTTCACATACAGCACAAGCTGCACTAAAAAGGCACTTCTGGAGTAAGAATATCTACATCCAGGGTTTGTACTGACATAAAATATACATGTTTAAATGTACGCCTTAGATCACAATGGGAAACAGTGTGATTTCTTAGGGCAAATAAGGTCCGATTTGATGGTATGACAATTTAGGAACATGAGGAGATTAGGCAGGCTGTGTTTCTAGTGCCTGAAACTGGAATCTCGGAGGTCTGTATTCTATTTCTGGTTTTGCTACAGCTTTGTTACATATCTGTAGGAGAATCGTTTGCATAGGATTAGCAATACCTTGCTGTCTTGTGATATTTGGGATGCGTAAAGGGGAGTTGGATTACAGGAGTAAAAGGTGAAGTATCATATACTATATGTATACTATCCTGTGGAGTATCATTATGAAAACAGGTAAGAAAGATGAATGCTGAGTACAAGCTGGCCTTCATATTAAAATGCTCACTGCTAGGGGTCCTAGAGCAAAGAGACTGATATAGAAGAGCTGGCCCCAACATGGGATGGTTGAGGAGTAGACACAGCATGTTTTGTGAAAGAATGCAGGTGGCTATCTCCTCTGCAGAGCTTGCCTTGGAGCTCTTAAAGCTCTGGCCTGATCCAAAAAATCGTTGCAGCAGATTCCCCCATCCTCCTGGTTTTAACCATTTCTGGTGCAGACCCTGAGTGATTGGAATGGTCATGACTCATTTTATTATGATATCGTTTGGGCACATGCCCCAGAAGCAGTAGCATAAAGAGTATATCAGAAAACACAGTTGATTGTTGCTATTTCCTCAGATCATGGATGTACGTCTTCTTTGTCTGAATGACTCAAAGATGAACGACCATCTCTAATTCAGTCTGCTTTCACTGAGCAGCGTAAGGAAATCACCATCTGACTAGAGAAAAAAAATTAACGCTTTCACTCCTCCTTTGATACACTTGTGCTCTGTACTTGCAAATGGAGCCCAGCAAAAACATTGTGGTCTAAATCTTTGAACGTGAAGTCACCTGAGTTTCCTAAGATCAGTATATAATATCTGGGGAGGTTTATGTTTATGCTTGTGAATGGCATTTTTATTTCAGATGAATTCTAAAATGGTTAGCTTTTATTATCTTGTCCCCTTATGCTGTGTATTTGCTAATGACAATTGTCTTGGATCATTAAGTGTATGATCTATTTTGGGCATCTGCTAACAGACTGCTGGACAAAAGCCAGCGAGAGATATCTGAAGAAGTAATGAGAATGGAAGGCAGTGTAAGATAACATGAAGTGATAGACATGGGAAACACCAGTGCATCAGAGGTATGACTGGAGTGTCTGAACACTTTTGTGTTCAGTCTTCAAAAACAAGGCTGTAGTTTGACTAGGATGCTTGAACAGTTCCTTGGCACTGAGAGTAAGCTTGCTGGTTTGACTTTTGTAGAGCAAGGGTGTAAGTTAAAAGATCAGCAAAAGGGATAAGAATTTTTTTGTTATTTTTGAGATAATATTGCGTGGATTCAGTGCACCTGCTGAAGTAGGTATGTTCTTTGGAGGATGCTGGGAAATGAGTAAACTTGTCAATCAAACATACAACGGCTATGTTCCCAGAGGCATCTTGGGTGGGTTCCCCATTCTCAAAGCAAAGTTTTTAACTTGCTCTTCTGAATGACAAACGCTCTTTCTTAGAACAATAATTTTCTTTTGGGTATGTTTGCATTAATGTTATTTATAGCCTCACACCCTGGATTCTGATGAAGGGAGTAGTCAGCTGGAGGGATTTACAGTCTTTGAGCAAGTCTCAGCAGTATCTCTTAATATGTGGGTATTTTCCCTTACTTGACTCTTGCATGTGTTCAGAACTTAATCTTGCAATTCAGGATGAGTAAAGGGTTTGGGGTTTTCAGCAAGGCTTGACTTTGTCCTTTGCTTTTTCTGAAGTCTGTGGGTGTTGAACTAGGTTTTGCACCAGCACTTCAGAAAATCCTGCTCTGAACAATTGCAAGCAATGTTATATAAACTTGGTATAGAGGCAATAGCTCAGAGATGTCCTCGTTCTTATAAATGTTACTTAAGCATTTATTGACTGTAGTTTCAAGCCCTGAACAATACTGGTCAATGAGCTTTCTCTGAGATTATGAAAGGTTGCTTGAGGAATACAATAATTTGCTTACAAAGCAGAAATTGAGTTGTTTATTTTCATTGAGAGGAAAAAGAGACATTTTTGTCTCGGGCATGACTGTGGCTTTGGGAAGGGAATTCATGAGCAAAGTAGTGGCTTCATCTGGCTTCATTTTGAAAAACTCTGCAAATATAGGTGAAGTAAGGATCAGCCAGAAAATGTCTGAGAAAGTATGGGAAAAGAAAGTGGAAGC